AAGTAGGCGCCGATCGAGGGAACTACGCGGATTTAGAAAGCGCGGGCCCACGGGCTGAAGCGTTGTCCGAGCGTTAGCGAGGACGCTACTAGGGGCCTGAGGCTTTACTAATCGCCGTGGTTTTCGAGAATTGCGCCTACCTGATTTAGAGCCATGGCAACCCAGCGTCCTTCAATGCGAAAGACGCCAAGCGTGCGGTGAGACGGAAGACGGCTTCTGAGCGGTTCTTATCTCACGAAAGCCACGGTACTCGGTCTTCTAGGCAGGTAGACGGCGCATGACTACTGAGAGACCTGGCTTACAGCTCCAGCGCACGCGCACACTGGCTATGCGAAAAGAAAGCACGCAGCGACCCCGCGCATTTTGGTGCGTACAGCTAGCCGGCAGAGCCAACTCACTCTGTTAGCTTGCCTGCAGTTAGGTTGCTGCAGATTAGGGAGCAGCCAGTAGATAGGGACCTGCCGGATCTTGCAGGATCCGCCACCGATACGCTCTATTATATTGGAGATGCAAGAAGCTAGGATTAGCGTCTGTCTTGAATTTCTGTCTGTGTTGTGAGCCACGGTTGCTGCGCATGACATACACAATGGACATGTGCCTCGGGGAGGATTTCGATATGTGTAGAAGTCCGCTGATCAGTCAGCGGAATACTAAGTGAAATAGGACTCCTCGTATGCTTGACAATCAGATTTATCAGAACTCACTAGAGGTCCTGGCTCTAAGTGTTGTCGATGACTGTACTATCGTACAGTTACTGTGTGGCTGTCATTGTTTGTGAGGTGGAGTTGATGCTGGGTGTGTGGGGAGAGTGACTGAGCATAAAAGACTCTTTACGCCACCGGTCCCGGTTTCTCAAGGCTGGCACCAGTGTGTCCTACTATCATGTCATGTCCATGTGTATTTGTGTATTGTGTTTTGATGGGATATTTTGGGTTGTAAATATGGTGTGGTCGGTTTTTATTTATTTCTCTATCTATCTACTACTATCCATCTATCTAGCCTATGGCTTGCGTATGCTATGTAGCTATAATTCATGTAACTCGAAGAATCTCTCGTCTCTCTCTTCTACTCTTCCAGATACACACTCAATGGTAGCAAAGACCAATAAAACTGTACACCACTCACTGTAATACATATACACTCACAAATAGGCAACATAGCAACTAGCATGAAATAATGTGCACTCACTTGGATAGTAAATGCCAAAAACTGAGACAGATGCGAATAGTGTTTGTAGCGCTATCTAGATGCAACATCTGGAAGAGTCCTTCAACCGCTCCAGTAAAATCTTTTTGGACTTGTTGGTGCTTGCTTTTTGGGAAGTGGAACAACTCATGAGGGATGTTTTTAGGGTTCTTTGTGAAACGATATTTTTTTGTGTTTTTGTTTTGTTGATTTTGAATTTTTTTTGTTGTTTTTGCTTTTTTTTCTTTTTTTAGTTTTTTTTTTTTTTTTTTTTTCTTTTGTTTTTGTGTTTTGGATTTTTTTTGAACGGGGCGGTTGTGCCTGTTGTGGACGGGCCGGGTGGGGGGTGGTTTCGGCGCATTGGGGGAAGGGGGGTGTTTGAAGGGGTGGGGGGGGGTGGGTGGGGGGGGGGGGGTGTTGGGGAAGTTGGGTGGGGGAGGGGAGAGGCGGGGGGTGGGTTTGGAGTGTGGATGAAAATGGGGTGGGAGTGATGTGCGGGGGGGGTTGGGGGCGTGGGGAGGAGGTGAAAGGGGGGGGGGGGTGGGGATGGGGGGGGTCGACGTGGTTTTTTCGAATTTTGATTGGAAAATTCGATACAATGTGGCCATTGGTATGGAATTCCAAAGTGTTAATAAGCTGATCCATCCAAAGTGACCGGTCGAAAGGATCATAGAGTCATTAAGATACCGAACAAGACGAGAGTATCGACTTAATGTTGCTGTTTTATACAGACAAGCAAGAGCATTGTGGTCTTGTCCAACATCCTTGCTGATATCAGTTACACTGACTCTCCGGCTGGCATCTGATAGGATGCTTTGGTGATTAAATGACAGACTTAAACTATAATCTGCAGAGAAAATCAAAGTCTTAGATTCATACATGGCTTTTACTACACCCATTAGCTAAATGAAAGGCCTGCACTCCCGAAACCTCTGGGAGCCACGTGTGCACTTATTAAACACATATATGTTCAAATCGCTATAGGTGAGAATTCACATCACGCAGAGTAGCAGAAACCTACGACTAGTTAAATTAGGTTTCTGCTACTCTGCGTGATATAAATGTGAATTCTCATATATAGCAATTTGGTTACTACAGCTTTTTGGCCGCTCACTTTGTTGATGAGAATAAGGGTTGTTGGGGAAGAGAATAAACAAAGAGCAGATATTTAAGAGAATAGTGACCATCATTGTCGTCCAGGCCTGTCTCGTGTGCCAACCGGGCGCAAACTGCAGGCGGACGCGGGTTTTAGCTGTAGCTAGGTAAATAGCGCATGCGCGTAAAACGCGCCAGTCTCGCCGCAAAATAGCATTGCAGTGCCTCTAGCTCCAACTACATGCCTTTTCGGACGGACAAAAATAGGGGAAGTCGTGACAACAACGACAAAGGGCGGCTGGTAAGCGTGTTTTGCTGCCCGCGTACTGACTCGGAGACAGACCAAGCGAGGCACTCACTTCGCAGTCCTTTGAGACTGACTGAGTTTGTTTGGACGAGTTTTGCTACAGGGTCTCTGCTATGATTATAATTTTTGTACCACTGACAGAAATAGCTTCTACCCTTTCATTACTATATACACGTTCGTAGGCGTCAAGGGGTAAACTTGCACATGCATGCGCATAATCTAGCGCAGCGCCCCTCTCTGGCGTAGCCAGCGCGCGCTGAAGAAGGCAGGCTACGCCAGACTAGATGCATCTCGGGTGAAGTCAGTAAACAGGCTACTAGTATGTTATCCTATCGTAGCTGTAAGCGCGCTATACAATAGGATAGAACGAGGGATAGAGCAATGCCACCGTCATTCGCGGATCTGGTAGCATAGTGTTGCAATGCGATATATAGAGGTCTCGCTGCGCGGGTTCCCTGCGAGCGCATTGGGTAGCTGGGTAATGCGATCGGTGTTGGTGTTAGAAACCGACTACAACTTCGATAAGCTTTTGTATAGACCTCTACACCTAGCTAAACCAGCAATGCCGACGTTAGCTCGACTGGCGTCGCCCTGGGCATGCGCAAAGAGAGTAGCTACGCGTAGTTTCGTTGAGCAGTCTGCGTCGACCGTAGAGGATCATGCAGCACTGGCGGATCGTTCTCTTTAGCCTGTACATAGTACATCAAGTGCCACTTTACTGCGAAGGTGAGCGCGGGGGTGGTTTCAGTTTCACTAATGTGTACACGCACTTAGCTAGCTACGTGAAAATTGTTTTAGTGCAAGAGATTGCCTCAAACTGGCTGCTGAGTGTCACAGTGATTGCTATTGGTGGGGTTGAGTTTGAGGTGATACTCTACTATGTTTATTCCGCAGTCCAAAGTGTAATTATACTTAGGTGGCAGCTATAACACTAGAACCATTGACCAATGAGTGGGACATGTAACTTCAGATATACATGTGTCTGTCTCAACTCCCCTCAACTTATATGCCCCTTCCACCAGTGACACCACGCGCAACACTTACTAGTTGGTTAATTCAAGCGTTAATGAATGGCTATAATAGTAGGGTGAAAAATGAGTTACTGTTCCTATAGTGACTAACTCTCTTTCTGGCTCTGATGGGGCTTATTCAAGCAACCCTGGTCAGTTTATGTTAACAGATTTAGATTGACTTTTTGGTATAGCGGTTTTTTGGGGTGCTACTGCATGCCTTGTTTTGTAGCTTGACTACAATTTTAACCCTTTGGACGCCATGGGTAGCCATCTCTTTAAATAAGCAGAAGATCATGTATAAAGTATTAGCGCCTAGTATTATAACCCATATATAAAATCCTATGGACATATAGAGGCTCTGTACACATTTATAATTATGTCCGTGGCTAGTTAGGTGTTAATTAAGTTTGCTCCCGTTATTTTAATGCATAAATAAGAATTGTAAGAAAGTGTAGGGTAGTGTAAAAGATTTGTGTCCCTGTTCTCATGTTCACATAACCTGAACTTCCGGAACATGGGGAATAAACAAGGTTTAATATCGAACATTTTAATCAGAGATTGCTATGCACCACTTAAACCTACAAAGTGTGGTTGCTTTTAATGCACTCTCATGTGTTTTTGTATGTATGTGTGTGGTTTTGGTTTTGTTGTTGTTATGTGTGCAATTCCACTGTTATCTTTATAATAGTTAGACGCTGATTCGAGGTAACTACGCGCAGTAAAAAGCCGAGAGCCCCGGCATTGTGGCGCCCCGAGCGCAGCGAGGGCGCTACCCCCGGGGCACGAGGCTTTCTACCGGCGCGTGGTTACCGAGGAATCAGCGTCTAACTATTTTAGAGTGAGCGCTTCACGTTGAGCGCTCTGGCTTTCCTGTTTGTTCGTATGGCGGAGCGCGTCTAACGAAACCTTGATGAAGACAGGCTCAGAGCGCCAGAAAATGCAGTGCAAGAAGAGGTAGCGAAGTGGCCGCGGTAGCGACTCCGCCTTCTTTTTCTGGTTGTGCTCGACGGTCTGCGCGCAGGGGGGTCTGCGCGTGCGCGTGGACGACGCGTCAATGTAGATTCAGTTGTTGATCTTGTTGTTTACATGTACATTTTGTTATGTTTTCCTGTTTTATCTGTAGATTTTGTAGTTTGTGTAGGTTTACTACATGTAGTAAACCCCGTCGAGGTTTACTATGGGAAATAGTAAACCTCGGCTTTGCAATCTGATTGGTCAATTCGAACCTAGCTCACTCTAAATCTGGTTGTACCAGCATATGTGGTTTGTTGTGGGCACTACCAACACCTGACACATCATGCCATATGCAATTGCATGTGTATTCACGAGGTGTTAGCTGCCCAGCTAGCTACTCATGTGTCCCATCTAACCACTGCTGCACAGAACTGATACGGCTATGCAAGTATAATAAAGCTACATACATGCAGTATAGTAAGGTATGTGCACGTGTGAGCATAAAACAAGCTGCGGATCAACAACACTGTACAATCATTCTATGGAACAAAAACTAAGGGGAACGTGGGAGAGGCTGTGCAGCCCCTCGAATTGGTGTAGCTATTATGTATTGTATAATCGTAGTGTTGCTATATTTCTACTGCTTTACCTTCTCTAAGAGATGAATGATTGTCCACTTGTGGTGTAAGACCACAGATTATTTTCTCCACCGACATAATCTGCAGGTTTGGAATTGACTCTATCTGGTATTGCTCTGGAAGGGACACACATTAAGATCACTGATATTGGTCAGAGCAGTGAGAGTGGTCTCGTCTGCTCATTTACGTCGTCTCAATACCTAAATAAATTCGGTTGGGATCACAAACTTACACAAAACGAAATTGGAGACAGGGAATTGGGAACAAAAGGATGGTCATCTGAAAGTGGGCGCCTGAATCGTCGTCAATGGTTGATACTCTTTAGAACACCAGGCAGCAGAGCCATGGAAGGAATTTTTACTTGCAACACAGATGAAGGCTCTGTCTCTGTCAACATCTCTCACCCCAGTGAGTCTTAATCTGTAACTACATGCACGTCGAACAATTGTGATGTCACATCATGAAAAAGAAGGCGGACAAGAATATGCCTACACCCAGACACTGCATAGTCGCAAAGAACTGTTCTAACTGGTTTTGCTCTCACGTAGAGAATGCATGGAGGAGGGATATGCTAATAAGCAAAACCTGAAAATCTGACTCTTCACGAGCATTATTAGAGAGTCGGTAGACTCTCTATCTATATATAGGGATGACACGGGTGAAATCTCACGTGATCCGCGTACAAAACGACTAAAAACTCGGTGAGAATCACTCCCTAGGCCTTCAAAACATACTAGCAATAGTCTACGGGCCCATATCTACCTATACATGTTCCCAAAGACCTCGCACCTTCAGTCGTCCACGCGAGAATTCGCTCATACGCGATTTCACGATTTTCGTGTCATCATATTCTTCATCTTCTTTTTCTTCTTCTTCTTTAAACCCGCTATCTCCTTACCAGTACCAGTTCAAGCACTGATTTTTTCACTAAAGGTCTCCAATTTCGCCGGAGGTGTGCACGGACATCAAGCAATCGTTTCTTTCTTGCCGCTAGTCACTACGGTAGATCATGGAGCTCTTCCATGGTCGACCTGAACAACGCCATTTGTTGCATCAGTGAGCCGCGCGCATGCGCCAGGCAGGGGCGTTGTCCAATGCGCTAGCGACCTTGCGAGTTGGAAGACCTGCAGAGGAACTCTAAGCCTCCAGTATCTTCTGTAAGTAAGTGTGCACATTTCCAACTGGTTGATTTGCACGAAGAGCAACTTGCCAGAGTCTGCGCGGTGTTACGCGAGCCTTGCGGGGCGCTCAGTAAAATGGGCCTTCATTGTTTACCAAAGCCTGCCCATGAAACCACAACCATGTGCAATAATCTAAGTATTATACATCCTTGTTGAAGACAATACATGAGGTGAATGCGGTATCTAGCCCCTGCTTCAGGCACTAGCAGCCCCATTAGCTACTACTTACAATTAATTTTGTCTATGGGTATATACAACATACCCATGAACATCAGAGTGACTGTAACAATAAATGTAGTATTGTTAAAAATAGTGGAAACAAGTGGAAAAATCATTTCTTCAAAATGAAAGGGGGATATAGGGATGGCTTGAAGCACTAAAAAGGAAGAAACAAGGGGTCAATACACAGAAAAGTTGCACAAAGCTACATGACACCATCCCTATATCTTTGTTTTATTGTTTATAAGCAAAGTTTAACAACAATATTATAACAACAAAGATATAGGGATGGCGTCATGTAGCTTTGTGCAACTTTTCTGTGTAATAACCCCTTGTTTCTTCCTTTTTGGTGCTTCAAGCCATCCCTATATCCCCCTTTCATTTTGAAGAAATGATTTTTTCACTTCCACCAAATTACCTGTGTCATGCAAGAGTACCAAACGTCGTAGGCAGGCGTTCTTAGTTAGTTTTGAGGCATTTTCTGTGTGGATGTTAATGAGTTTCGACATGTGCCATCCATACTATAGGGCGTCACCGATTCTTTGGTTATTATGCAGTATAGTTAGTATACAACCATTATTTATACAAACGTGTCTGTTTAGTCCTCAGTGTGGTAGTGACTTTCGAAGTAACAGACAAAAGAAATGGAGTTTTCAAAGTCAAATGTACTTTTACTGGCGGAGCAGTACTGACAATGTCCATCAGTGGGCCATTGGGTAGGCAGGAAGACTTGGATACCTCTGCAGTAGGCACACCTCAAAGGACAGGGAATGACTCATACTCTGCAGAGATCCTTCTTCAAGGTGGTAATAATAGCGACACATACATCTGTTTTTCTTCCAATATAGTGTCCAACTCATCTAGCAGTTCCTATCTGAAAGGTATTGGGTTATTTTTCTTATTACTTATGGTATAAGATCACCCATTTTCTCAGTGTCTTCAAACCCTATCATACTTTCTGTAAAGCAGAAATCAGCACAGTCAGTGATAGTGGAGTGGAGTCAGCCATCAGGAGGAGCCACAGTGACTGCATATGTAGTAAACTACAGTGATGGAGTTGATAAAATGACTGAGGATGTACCTGCACCTTCAACTAGCTCCTCCATAACAAACCTTACTAAACTGCCTTGAATACACTTTTATAGTCGAAGCAATATCAGAACACCTTTCCGGAGAGTCTGATATCCACACAATTGCTTTAGGTATTAAACCCGTACATCCTCGCATTTTTATCTACCTACATAGTTGTTTGCTCTTTTCAGGTGCCTCAGCACTTGCAGTGGACATTAGACCAGAAGTTATGAGTTCAACATCCATTATAGTCCGATGGACTGGTATGGCGGCCTGCAATAGTACCAGTCAGATAGTCAAATACAGGGTGAAGTACAAATCAGAGTCCAGTGGTATGGCACACAATACTGTCAATGAAACAAGAGAGGATATCTCACTGACTGGACTGGTACCCTACACACGTTACTCCGTTGAGGTGGCTGCAATGAATGAATAGGGAGAATTCGGCCCCTATAGCCCCTCAATTACATTGGAAACATTGGAAGATAGTAAGGTCCTTTTTTACTGGGAGATTTAACCTTTGTGATGAGCTTTGTACATGACGAAAGTGAGCAAAGAAATATTTTCTCTTCTCTCAGTTCCTGGTCCAGTTGGAAATCTCTCAGCATCCTCAACACTCTCAACAATTATATCTTTCCTGGCGTGCACCTATTTTGCCTAATGGTGTCATCATCGCATATGAGGTGTCCTACAGACCAGCAGACAATTCAGGTAATGAGCTCAGTCTGAACACCACTGATGTGGAGTCAAATTTCACAGCAGGGAATGATCTGGAGGGAGGGTCTGACTATATATTCTCTGTCAGAGCATACACTAGAGTTGGACCGGGAACAACGTCCTCTCTAAGAGCTTCCACACTTCTCCAGCTGGGTAACTAATAACTTACTTTTAGAAGCCCTAATTTCTACTCTCAAACTTGTTCAGGAACAGCAATTGATATTGTTGTGACGGTTGGCATAGTTGCATCTTTCGTGACAGCATTGTTTCTCATTTACATTGCTGTCATCATGCTGTACATCTACAAGTGAGTTAGGAACTTCTATTTTACACCCAACTATAAACTACACTCATAATTATTATTGCAGAAGGAGCAGGAGTAGAACTAAAAAACAAGACAAAAGCCACCAGAGTGCCACTGCTAGCAATCTACTCTCTCTTCCATATACTGAAACTCCAGATACTAATGCAAGCAGGGATATTACTAATGGTAAACCATATTTACACCTGCGTCATTTTTCTGTTAAATTCTTCGTTTCTTTTACAGCATTGAAAGTAACGCAAATATCCGAGGAGGACGAAGATTTCGAAGATATTTCATTTGACTCATACGATGCAGAAGCAGTGAAGGAAATCTCACCAACACATGAGACTGTTTTTGATTCCAAAATGACAAACCTAGTTTGTCCAGTACCTGCAGATGAATTTGGAGACTATGTTGCAAGATGTCATTCCAAGGACTTTAAAGCCCAATTTGTGGTATGAGCTGTCATTAAACTAAAAAGTGTTCATGAATCACTTTGGAACTTGTGTTCATTAGTGTTCACGAGTAGTACAAAGTGTGAGATCCAATAATGGACAATTTTGGTAATACTGTAAGCTCTATATTTGTTATACAGTCGTTACAACAGTATGATGAAGAGGTTCCCAAGACTCTAAGAAAGTTCAAACTCAACAGATTATCCAATTTTACTGTTTGTAAGTGGCCTAATAGTCTCTAATTGTACATAACATTATATCTACTAGGTGAAGACAACCGGGTAATACTCAAACCTATTCGTGGCCACTCAGATTATGAGGAAGACTTCATTAATGCCAGCTACATTGATGTCAGTGAATTGGTTCAGTGTGTATAAGTTCATCTTTTACACTGCCACATTATAGGGGTACAATAAAGAACAGCAATACATTGCAACACAAGGTATTTAATTACAACAGCACTATAGGCATTCACTTGTGTGGGTTTACTACAGGGCCACTGCCTAACACAACTGTTGACTTCTGGAGGATGGTGTGGCAGGAGAGGTCTCAGAGCATTGTGATGGTCACCAATCTGGTGGAGGGAAATAGGATCAAGTGTCACAAGTACTGGCCAGAGACTGGGACCTTGTCCTTTGGTCCCTTCAATGTCACCATCACAGGACAACAGATACTGGCTGACTACACTACTCGGGAATTTTCTGTTCAGGTACTACTGAATGAGGTCATGTACAGCTACCATCTGTCCTCCAATAATTACATTTTCCATGTATATAGTTCACAGAGAGCCCTGGAGGTATTCTAACTGTGACTCAGTTCCACTTCACAGACTGGCCTGAGTATAGGGTGCCTTACTCTGCCACTTCACTGCTAGTCTTCCTCAAGAAAGTGAAGAAACTTCATGAGTTATCAAAAGGACCAATGATTGTTCACTGCAGCAGGTATATACCTAATACAACACATTTTTGGAAGCGTACCTTTTCTCGTGTGTTTTCGCGCCTATTACGGTGCAGTGTGGCAGTGCGGGTCACAACATTATATAATGAATAATCGCCGCATAGGTAGACCAGCTTCACTCATTAGAGAAGAAAAATGTTTACATAGTGGAGGAAATGTTTACGTGATCCGTGAAAACATGCGCGAAATATTGAACTTCGCTCGCCAAAAAATGGTGATGCATTCTTTCTGGAAAGGATATTATTCAGGGGGGGATAAAAGTATGACAACTGTGTAATGCTGTAGCAAATTATACGCTCATTGACTTTTAGTGGCTTTATTACAATGTTAACGGAGTAAATGGAATAGGTGTGGTTTTTTTATACACAGTTCTGGTGTGGGGAGGACAGGGACTCTTATAACTATTGACTGTGTTCTTGAGCAGCTGAAAGAGGAGGAGAAGGTGGTGGATATAGCTGGTGTCATCATCCACCTCCGCACACAGAGAATGAAACTTGTTGAAAGTCTGGTTCTTTAGAGTGATTTCTTTTATCATCCAGTTTTCTACTTGTAAACACTATAGGAGCAGTATATCTTTGTCCATGATGCAATCCTAGAAGATTTGTTATGTGGAGACACACAAATTGATGCTCGAATTTTCCACAAATCTATGAGGAAAATAATTAACAGTCCACAAACGTATGTGACTGAATTTGAAAAACAGTTCAAGGTTAGTATAATTATGTATGTCTTTTCATCAGAGACATGGGGAATTATTGTAATTTTGCAGGTTCTTGAAAAGGTATCCCCTAAACCAGCAGAGGTTTCAAGAAAGGAAGCTCTTCGAAATGGAAATAAAAACCGCAATCTTCGGTACCTTCCATGTTAGTTGACTCTTACAACATCAATGAAAATGTATTAGTGTTCTCCTTCAGCTGACAGGTGGCGTGTGGCTTTGAGGGGAGGGAGTAATGACTACATTCATGCAGTTTTTGCTAGTGTATGTACAGCTTCATAGTGATCAGTGTCTCCATCAATATTTCTGTATTATTACAGGGCTACAAGCAAAAGAGAGCATTCATCATAGCTCAGAGTCCCATGGAGTCCACAGCCAGAGATTTCTGGAAGATGGTCCATGACAGGAAGTGTGGAGTCATTGTTATGCTATGTGACTTGGTGGAAGATGGACAGGTAGCAACACCATTGTTGTTAACCCTCGGCGCGCATGCGCAGCGAGGGTTACAGTAGTTTGGTTTGTCTGTCTGTCTGTCTGTCAGTCTGTCTGTTACTCTTCATCTCACTTCTCGAGTGTTCTTTCGTCTCACAAAGGATACCACCTACCGAACGGGCAATGAAGGTCAGAAATTTCGAACAGTTTTCTGCAAAGCTAGAGCGCTTCCACCATTGTACGGCTAATGCGTAGTCGGCCATTTTTATCGCTGCGGAAAATGCGCATGCGCTTATATTTAGCACAGGACCGGGTCTGCTTGCTCTGTGTATTTCGAAGGCACAAGAAGTCACAACGAAGGGCATGTATCGACTCTCGCATGCTAATCTACCACTGTAGCTAGCCCGTATCAGACTCTCTGCGAGCTATATAGTAGCGGGAGACCCCGCATACTAATATACCGCGCATGCGCAGTTCGCCGAGGGTTTGCATTTCAGTGCTTTTCATATTATACTATGACACAAAAACCACAGGAGATGTGTTATCAGTATTGGCCTCAGACAGGAATGGTTAAGTTTGGAGAGTATACAGTCGATTTGACAGAAGAACAGACAGTGATTGGATATACTATTCGTAAACTGAGTCTTTCAAATACTGAGGTAGGTATGTTAGTATAGAATTACTTAAATATCTCCTTCATGCTTTATAACAGTCTGGAAGTGCTCATCAGATTGTACAGCTGCACATAACTAACTGGAGTCCTGATGGTAGATGTCATAACCTCAGCACTGTTACAAGTGTGATAAGTCAGATGACAAACATCCAGATCACAACTGGCAACCCGTCCCATTGTAGTCCATTGCAGGTATAGTTGGCTAGCTATATATAGAGTATGGAAGGATGACTCAAACGTATTACTCGCATTCGTTTGTTGACGGGATTCTTACTTTTCCCACAGTGACACAGTGGGTAGGTCAGGGATGTTCTGTGCCATAGTCACCACCATTGAGAGGTGTAAGACAGAGGGAGTGGTGGATGTGTTCCAGGTGGTCAAGGCTCTCAGGGTACACAAACCTGGAGCTCTCCTCACTGTGGTGGGTTTGTCCATAAAAGTATAGTGACTGGCGCAGCAAATAATACTTTTCTCCTGATGTACTTCATATTGTTTAGTTGTTCTGTGTCTCACAGGCACACTACCGTTTGCTGTTTGAAGCAGTGTTGGTGTATCTGGACTCATTTGACACTTACAGCAGTTTTATTAGTGATAAGAACCCTTGAATTATAGCTATGGGTTAGTGATAATTATGTACGAATTTATGTTTGGTATATAGCACGGGTCATGTATTATAACAAGGTTGATCCATCTTTGACAATGTGCCTTTAGATTACGGATTCAGGACATCATGATCCCTTTTCTGCCAAGCATCTACTTAATGCTGACTAATTTTTAATTTTTCTACCTGCCCAACCTCAAAACTGGGACCAAAGACAAGTTGGTATACTGACCCTAGCCAACTACTTGGGCTTTTGCGTTCGTCCACGATCAACTATGGTATGCAGTTGAGCCTCTGTGCCAACTGTTCTAGAAGGCAGGCAATCAGTGGAAAGTCACTGGAGTTCATCCATGCAGACTATGGGGGGTTGTTCTTGGCTTGGCTCTGTGATGTGATCTAAAAGGGATTATCCAAAAACATTGCACGAAAGATGTTCGCTAGCCCAGGCAATACAAATTCCAAATATAATGATTCCAATTAATGCTGCACCACTTGCGCATTCCAAGTATAGCAGCAGTCTTGATTAAAGTTGGAACTGCAGATAATAAACACAAAGATAGAGGATTCTTGAAATTTTAAGAGAGGAAGAAGTATAACAGTCCTTCTTACTTGACTCAGCACCTAATGTAGCCACAGTAAGATAGGAGGCATTTCCAGGTCCCACTCTGGTGTAGGCTCTCACAGAGAAGATGAATTCAGTGGCCTCCTCAAGGTTGCTCTCTGTGGTGAAATTAGTGGCCAGAGCAGAGGAGTTCACTCTAGTCTCAGGCTCTGAGGAAGCTGTTTGTCTGTAGGAAACCTCATATGCTATGATTATTCCATTAGGCATCAGTGGTGGCTCCCATGTCAGGGTTACTTGAGACAGGGATGGAGATGCCTTGACTGCACCTACTGGACCAGGAACTAAAACAGTACTATAAGAAAGGCACTGATAATAGTATGTTAGACATTAGCTACCATCTTCCAAAGTTCTGTTAGTGGTGGGGTAACTGTATGGTCCCATGTTTCCCATCTCATTCACTACAGCTACTGTAATGGAGTATTTGGTGTATGGAGTGAGTCACGTCAGCATTGCCTCAGTTGATGTTACAATTAATTCTCCAGTTTGGTTTATACGTTCAGAGACAGCACTGAACACTGCAGTGTACTTCACTGAGAATTTAACAGACAGATGACTGACTGGACCGCAGGCTCTCAGGTGGTCCCATTGGACTGAGATGACTGTTGAACTCACTGCTTCAGCTGTGACATTCACTGATAGGTCTGATGTACCTGTCAACAGAAAATTACATAAAAGTATTAGCAAAACCATGCATTCACCTGAAAGTGCAAATGTTCTTGATATTCCAGAGATGTGCTCTGAAGTAGCTTCAACTGTGAATGTGTAGTTAGAACATCTAGTTAGGTTTGTGATACTGTGACTAGTGAAGGATGCAGGTACTCTCTCAGTCATGTTACTCTCTCCATGACTGTAGTGTACTACATATCCAGTCACTGTGGCTCCTCCTGATGGCTGACTCCACTCCACTATCACTGATGTAGCTGATGTCTGTACTACTAACAGTAGAGTTGGACTCCCAGCAACTGAGAGATCACACTGTGTCACCCATTATTATCACTAAAATAACAGACATACCTTTCAATGAAACAACATCTGAAACATTAGACACTCCGTTAGATGCAAAACACACATACATATCTCCATGAGTTCCTTTTTTCCAGTTCACTTCAGCTGAAAAATTGTCCTTACCCACTCCCTTAATGTCACTGACGTTAACAATTTAGTCATGTTCTCCACATAACCAGATGGTCCAGTGATAGACATTGTCAGTGGTCTACCACCAGTTGATGTACAAATCACTTTGAGCATCTTACTACCTTTCCCCAACATTTGAATACTCCCACTAATGGAAGAGACCGAAAAAACAGAGAATAACGTAAGCACATAACTGCTGGCACGGATAGCTTTGTAAGTTATGCAGAATGCATTTTTTGGCGAGTGAGGGGTCAACTGGTGTACAAGAAGATGTTTCACATGTGCATTGGATAAAATGGTGCCATTGCAACTACTATTTAGACAAGTAGGTGGCGCAAAAACACTAACCAATTTGTGGTTATAATAGCAAATGCCACCATTCACACATCTTTGTCTGATCCCTCACTAGAGGGGTAATTACAGTACTGTCTGTCTGTCTGTCTGTCCACTACGCTTAATCTGAAACCTCGCTCTATGACATAGAACAAGGAAAATTTGCATGCACACACTTAGACTAGCACGTAAGATATTATTGATTTTCTTGGTATCTCTGTGTGTATCAAAAGAAGCTCAATGGCAGACCCAGACGTGGTTAAGCAAAGTTCACTTTAATGGGTTTTAGAGTTATGCCTTTTTTTTAAATATTTCCTTGCCAATTAGCTATCAAAACTCGGTGTGCAGTAGAGTAAGTAATCAATTATCGACCGGCATGAATGTTCGGACGCATTATCTGTCGGACCAGAAGTGGGGCAGGCTCACTCTTATCGTGGACAGGTAGGTTAGGATCGTCAACCGAGGTATCCTGCTGGAGACCATTCTGGTGCGCAGCGGAGACGATCGCGGGGCGGCTGAATGCGCAGTCCGAACATACTCATTATCGGACATTATGGCGGACAGTCGGACTCACGGGCTCCTGCTAGCTAGCGAGCTGAGCGAAGGTATATCCCCTTGCTACTGTACTTAGCGCCATGCAGGCGTACCGCCCATCAGCTACTACGTGCGCTCCGGGCGTGCGCATGCGCACTAGACGTGTACACACGTGGGTGAACCTGTCACCAACCGAGCCAGAGCCAGAGCCAGAGCCAGTTGCAGTGACCGGTTTCCGCAAAGTGCGAAGTCGGTGGCTCTCAACCTCTCCTAATCGTCAGCGAATTAACAGGTTCATAGGGGACAGATGGGTGCGTGCTGAATGGGGGGAATGAAGCGGCCGTTTTTACGTCACATTGTATGTTGCCCTCTCAACCTAGTTGCTTTAGCTAGGTCTTTGGGATCACCTACCGGGGCGTGCAACGGCGTGTTCCACACACATTGAGTATATATATATTATATATAATTATATGGAGCTAGGGGCTAGGGTGCTCGTCGCCCGTGATCGGACTGGGGTGACGCGGTGATCTGCTCGTCTAGTCTAGGGCCAGGGCATGAAACAAATAAACCAGCCGACCCCATGCGAGTTCGATGTGCTGTTATTGCCGGTGATTCCCTTTCGTATATACTGGGCGTCTCTCTGTAGCCTACTGAAAATGTTATGTCAATGAATAGATAGTGGGGTCCCCAAAGGTCTGATAAGATAGCTACCTGCGTAGAACTAAGACACTTCTGTTTACAGCACAGTAGTACACATTGCATACAGAAGTGAGAGGAGACGCCTTCTGATTCGATACGGGTACCGTCGGCTTGTTGACTACATAGTGATATGGACATGGTTGGGACAAGCTGAGCCACTTACTCGTTGTTTCACATGCAAATTGGGCTACAGTGTGTACCTGAGCAATCTCAAATGCAGACGGGGCGCTCCGAAGCGTTGGGGTTGTATCGTGTCAGCATTGACGCGATCCACGCAGTCATCGATGGCGCAGTCGAGAGGCCTCTCCTCTGCCGGTCTTCGACAAGCTCATTCCAATCGAGTCGCCGTTATACTACCATTTTCTTAACAACTAAGACGGTAGATTCTTCATGTCTTCGTGGTTCTGCAACCCATGTAAGTGCAAGGCCTTGAAGGAGGAAGGCTAAGAACCACGAAAACACTCTAATTTGCCATCTTACCTGTACATAAAAAACGCGCGTGGGCGAACCTGGTCTGTCTATTGTGGCTTATACATTCTCCTCCTAGGCTGAAGGTGATGGCTACAATGCAGGAATATGCACCTTTACGCGAAAGAGTGTATATTGGCTATGTGGGTCCATCTGTTTCCGACCACGATGAGAGCCTTCTTCCTTCAAGGCCTTGCACTTATAAGGGGTGGACCCAGGAAAGCATGACATCAGCAATAAAAGCAGTCGTTGACGACGGTATGAGCGTCAGGGGAGCTGCTGAGTATTATGGGGTGCCAAAGAGCACACTTGGGGATCGTATAAGTGGCCGTGTTCTCCCGGGAGCCAAAAGTGGCCCAAACACCTACCTGAGTTCTGAAGAGGAAGAAGAGCTAGTAAATTTTCTTTGCCGCACAGCCCTTGTTGGACATGCACGAACTCGGAAAGAAGTGTTAGCCATTGTCAATCGCATACTGTCTTCTCGGGGCAAGAATAAAGATGTGTCTCCTGGTTGGTGGGCAGCATTTGTAGCGCGCCATCCAATGCTTACGTTGCGTACTCCTGCCACACTCTCAATCTCACGGGCAAATGCTACTGATCCTGTAGTTATCGATAGTTATTTCGATGAACTGGAAAGGGCTTTGGAAGAGAACAGCCTCACTGACAAGCCTTGTCAAATCTTTAATATGGACGAGACTGGTGTGCCCTTAGATCCCAATCCACTAAAGATTGTAACATGGAGGGGCCACAAAAACCCTGCCCAAGTCTCTAGTGGGAGTAAGGGACAAGTCACTGTAGTAGGGTGTGTAAGTGCGGGTGGCCAATGCTTGCCACCAATGGTGATATGGGATCGGAAGCACCTTCCTCCCGAGCTAGCTGTGGGTGAGGTTCCGGGAACAATCTATGGTCTCTCCACCAAAGGGTGGATTGATCAGGAGCTGTTTGATTTGTGGTTCACCCAGCACTTCCTCCGTTACGCCCCTCTGGTACGTCCCTTGCTGCTGTTGATGGATGGCCACTCATCGCACTACTGTCCATCGACAATCAAGATGGCAGCAAAGGAAAAAGTGATCTTGTTCACCCTTCCACCCAACACTACTCACCTTACCCAGCCCTTAGACAGAGCGGTTTTTGGACCATTCAAGGTCCAATGGAGGCAAGCTTGCCATCGCTACATTGTTGAGCATCCAGGAGCTAGAATCACCAAGCACAATTTTTCTGTTGTATTCAGTGAGGCTTGGGTACTGGCAATGACCCCCAAGAATATAGCGTCAGGCTTCCGAGCAACAGGTGTGTGGCCACCTAACCGGAATGCAATCGTTTTACCAACTGATCCAAATAATCTTGCTGCAAAAAGTGGTGTTGCATATACATGCCTTTGTTTACTCCAGCCAAGCGTAGGTTATCTTCCTCATGCTCGTCCTCAGACTCTCCTATCCCTGATGCGTATGTGCCTGCAGGGAAGCATGCCCCACTTGTTGGTTTTCTTGACTCCCCCGATTACCAACGTCATCCTGCTGCTACTGCTATGAAATCTTCAATTCGTGTCCTCACAAGTGCTGAGAATCTTCAAAGAATCAAGGAAAAAGAGCGAGAGAAGCAAGCCAAACTGAAAGAGAAGGAAGAAAGAGTGAGAAGGAGAGAAGAAAGACGAGGATTACAAAAAAATCACAGAAAAGCCACCTTCCTTTCTCTGAAGAAGAGTTGGTTAAATTCAGTACCAGGTATGAGAATGGATATGACATATCCACTGATGATCGTTACAACGAATGGCTTGCAATAAATCATCCAAAAAAGTAAGTATATATATATGTTTGTTTACAGACCATTATGTGTATGCTGCATGGATTATGTTTTTTGTGTGACATTCAAAGCAAAAAGCATGCTTAGTCGGATAAGTATGCTACGTACCAGAGTACTTGTAATGTACATGCCTGTGCATAGAAAAGTTAGTGATACCTCTGGTAGATCAGGTCAGCTTTTCCTTTTAAATGTGAATAACAGAATATGTTTTTACAAACAATAGGGAAAATTCCAGACGACTGGACATGGGCTTACCAGAGGAGGACAGGAAAGAGGGAGAGGGAGAGGAAGAGGGAGAGGGTGTGGAAGAAAGACAGGGAGTGGAGGCTCTACACTGACACCTACCATGGCGACTGATAAGTCAGGTTTGTACAAACACTTGAAAGTGTGGACATTCTTCAATGTTTCAACCTTTGTGTACAGAGTCTGAGATTGAAGACCTCAGTGTCAGCAGCAAGACGAGTGGCCCCTCTCTGAAGGAGACACTTTCAGGTTTCATCACCACCCCATTTTCCTCTGTTCTAGTTTTGCATGTCAAGGACCACCATTATGCATAATGTTTTTACACAACATACACAATATGTAGAGCCAGAGGTGACCTCCAATGCTACAGTAAAAAGAGGAAGAGGGAGAGCCAAGCCAAGATCAGTCTCGCGATCTAGGGGTACTTCTGGTGGATCAGGTCAGCTTTTCTTGACAACACGTGAATCCGATAACATCTTTTATTTCAAACCATAGATGCGAAGGAAGAAATTCAGACGACTGGACATGGGCTTACCAGAGGAGGACAAGAAAGAGGGAGAGGGAGAGGGAGAGGCTGTGGAAGAAAGACAGGGAGTGGCAGAGGCAGAGGCAGAGGCAGAGGCTCTACACTGACACCTGCCATGGCGACTGATAAGTCAGGTTTGTACAAACACTTGAAAATGTGGCCATTCTTCAATGTTTCAACCTTTGTGTACAGAGTCTGAGATTGAAGACGTCAGTGTCAGCAGCAAAACCAGTGGCCCCTCTCTGAAGGAGACACTTTCAGGTTTCATCACCACCCCATTTTCCTCTGTTCTAGTTTTGCATGTCAAGGACCACCATTATGCATATGTTTTTACACAACATACACAATATGTAGAGCCAGAGGTGACCTCCAATGCTACTGTAAAAAGAGGAAGAGGGAGAGCCAAGCCAAGATCAGTCCCGCGATCTAGGGGTACTTCTGGTGGATCAGGTCAGCTTTTCTTGACAACGCGTAAATCCGATAACATCTTTTTTTTTTATATACAAACTCCTGTTCCCTTTTTTTCTCTGTAGTTCCCAAGGTCAGCGGCAGGAA